CACCGAAAGGGGCAGGTCTGGACTTTTTTTTCCCAAATAGAGCAAATAGAGAACCAGAGACAGAGACACACATTCGTCAGAGATCTGGTCAGAGAGCTGTTTTTTTTAGTAGGATGCCATTTTTTCTACTTCTGATGCCCAAGTTAACACAGAACTGGAAACACGACAAAATCCACACAAAAGCAGAAGGCAGCAGAAGGAAGGGAACTAGATTGCAATTCACAGCTGCAAAGAATCAGCAAATGAGTTCAGCTTAAAGATGAATCCACACCATGAAATTTTAAGCAGCTAGCTCACTGTGCAGCTCCAAACCAAAAGCTGAAGCAACAGAGTCTGTCTCCTTATTCCAACACAGACCTAAGCTGAAATTTACCATCTGAGCACAGAAGCGACTTCACAAGATAAAGGTTCTTCTCCCTGTCACACTGCTGATACAGACACACTGACATATACAAGGGCTATATGCAAATCCAGCAACCAATCCACACACTGGCATTAAGAGCTGGTTAAAAAAACTGTGTTTGTTTTCAGCTTTTACAGCCACCATCATTAAACAGTCAAGAAAAAATTAGTTTGAAACAGAAGAACTAAAAAGATTGTGACAATTTCTGGATACAAAATTATTCTTGGAAGTTACCACAGAAATTATGCATATGCCTACTCCTTCTTGAAAGCATTTTATACCACTGAATTCAAATCTGACTAATGTTTTAATTAAAGCTTGTACAAAATATTCACTTAGAATAGTCTAAAAGAACCAGCAATCCTATCCAGACATAGAAGATTTCTTCCAATACAGTTGATTTGGCACTTATGGAGGTTGAGCAATCTGTAATTAAGTGAAATGAGACTTGTGTGGAAATACCAAGAACATTAAGAGTATCTGACAGCATGGGAATTATTTGTCAGAGAACATTTTTCTTTTACTGCTTTTTATCTATGTAAAATACCTTGTAAAATTTAATTAAAAAAAAGTCAGAGACTTAGCTTGTGTTACATCCACTCATTAACTGTATACCGCTCACCTTTAAACCATTCATTAGTACACAACTAAATTTAATGTTTAGCATACAACTTTTTTATTTTTTCAACCACTTCTCTATTTAATTTACTTCACCACTCCAATCCCCAGCTGAAGCTTTAAAATCAGTCACGACAGCAAGTCATTCAGCAGCATTTTGAAGCAGGCAGTAGCTGCAAAAAAGAAAGGAAACTAATGCTGATCTAGATCCAGTGCAGCAAAAAGGAATGCCCTTCTCTGAGTATTTCAAAAAAACAGTGACACAGCTTCAGCTTTGAAAAACATCCTCCAAATTATGACGTTTTTCTACTAATTCCCTTCTAGTAATACCTATTCAAGATTTTAAAATTCTCTCTGCAGTATGAATGACCTGTTGCTAAGAGTTACTTCACTGCTATTCTTGGGAACCTTCCCACTGCTTGCCTGGTTATCCCATTATTATTTTTTTCACATTTAAACTATATCCCACTTGCAGAACATAAAATATACCTCTCACTGCATATTTTTCACTTCCCATTCTACCTCTTTCAAGTGTATGACTACTAAAGAACAGCTAGAAATTTCTGCATCTCAGTATTCCTGTGAAAAAGGTGAATTTAAGCTGCAGAAGAAGCTGGGGGCACTCAGATTCCAACTTTGCAGATGCTGTTCCCAGCAGAGACAGAGCTTGGATTCTGTTCAAACTCCAGAAGCTCAGAACACAAGTATCTTTCTGTTCATAACAGCACAATGAGAGACAGATAACTTGTAGTTTTCACTTACTACAGCCCTTAAAGTATACAGAGAGGGAGGAATAAAGAGATCCAGCCCTGCTGCCAGCAGAATAACAAATCACATCACGACAGTCCTATCAATGGTAGAGCTCCTTTAACAAAACCCAAAAACACAGATTTTTGTGAAGTCCTTGATTATGCAAAAGTAAGTCAAACATATACCCATCTGTGTCATTACAGACCCTAAGCTAAACACAAAAGAAACAGTAAGGTGGCTAAAAACAGCAGAATGCTATTTTATGTAAATTTAAAATATTTTAAAGAGCATGTTTCCATTCCCATGCTAATAATCATTTAGTATAAAATACCATCATCTACAAGAGAAAGAAAAAAAAAAAACATCATAAGGAAATGAAGCAGTTCTTGCTTCTCTTACCTCCTAGCAGGCAGCAGATATGAAGTAAGACACTTTGAGGAAAAGAAAAGGAAAAAAGGAAGAAAAAAGAAAGAAAAAAGAAAAGAAAAAGAATAGAAATGCTTCCTTTTTTTCTACTTTATGGCTGTGAAGGATTGCTACCTTGTAAACAACAACCGATCTCCAAAGTTAAATTATTGCAGCATTCAGGCTTTTGATCTCTTCCTTTTGAAAAGAAAAGCAGGGAGAAGTTTTAAAACTTACTTGTAGATTAAATTCAAGTTAGCACTATATGCAATGCTAAAGCCAGGTAAAATAGTCTTCTCAGTTCATATTCTAATACCAAGAAGATAGGAGGGGGGAAAAGAAAAAAAGCATATTAAAAACAAGAGATAATTCTTGACACAAGAAAGATTTCTAGAAACAGGTAAGCACAAAATTGCTTCAAGTACAGTCCACTTCTGGAGTAAGAAGTAGAGTCACCAGTGGTCTCATCTGAAGCACATAAATTCCCAACATTTTATTTTCTGGACTGTTTAGTTAAAAAAACAGAAGATAGGTATTCTCGATTTGCTCCGTGTCTTACAAAAGCAGAGAATTAAAAGTGCTTTACTAAAAACATTTCAAGTGAAAAGTGACCTGGCCTGATTTGTAACACAGAACTAAGAAAAGTAGCTTTCTTCAGCATTATATTTTATACTCAACAGATCCAAGCTAATCAAAACATATCTATTCCAAAATACATCTATACTCCAACTTCCTATGCCAAATTTCCATAACTCATCAGTCTTTAAGAAAAATGCAAGAACCCTCTTCCTACTACCTGAAATATCTTTTCATTTAGTTCCTCTGCTACAAATGTCCAGCATCCCTCTATTAAGGAAATCCTTTTATTTTCTTGCACAATGAGCATAAGAACTAGCAGCAAACCACAGCATTGTTGGTCACTATGCAAGAATACAAGCAGTCCAGTGAGATGTTCCTCATTCCAAATCCTTCCTGTTTCCAAAAGCTGTACCTTGGATCTTCTGTGACAGAAACTGTCTTTGTACTTATTAGCCTCCCACTCCTTTAGTCAAGACTTTCAAATAAAGTTTTGCTTTACAAATACTTTTGAAATCTATAAACACTTTTGGTGTCCAAAGCATCCCAAAATCTTCTCCACTTTCTAGTCATGTCTTTTTGGGGCCTTTTTTGGGGGGTTTTTGTTTTGCCTGTTTTCAAATCCTTTTCTTTGAGGCTCCCCATACCAATATTATTATTAACAGCTATCAAATACTTGCTTTTCAGCCACTGCAGAGCACTTACTATACTGATTTCCCCTTTCCATTCTCATCACCAGCAATGAAGCCAAATTTCATCACACAGAGTTCCTCCTGTACAGAAGAACAGCAAATACAATTAAGAGTACTTCATTTTCCCTACTCAAATTTTACATTTCAGAAATGGAAGGGGACTGACAAAATTATTCATTACAAGTATTTAACATAGTTAGAGCCGTCTAAGTACTATCCTTTTTTTTTTTTCCTGATAATTTCTAAAATTTTGCTTGCTTTCTTTGGACCACTACTAACTGCTGTTTATTTTCACTGTTGTAACCAGGATTTTTCTCTTGACACACTAATTAATCCAGAACAAAATATATAGATACTACTCCTGTTGAAGGAGCTAAACATGGAAAGGTAGTCTGAACAGAAATTATTACTGAATGCAACAGTTTTTACCTAAGGAGGAAATATCATCCCAACTTCAGTTCCACAAAGATCAGCTTCAACTAAATTGCTGCCATTCTAAACAAGATTTTGCTATTGAAATAGAATAATTTATTACAAGCAGGAAAAAAATAAAAACAAAGCCAGTATTAAAAAATATTATGAAAATTAATAGTGTAGAAGCGTAAGAATTAGCATGCCATTACACAAGTCTCTGATATCATATATACTGAACAGCAGTTTTACCACCTCATCACAGTTAAATTATAGATGCTAAACATTTAAATGCATTTAAGAAGTGACCAGAAAACATACTGAGGAATAAGTCCTTGATGGAATTGAGTATAAAAAGATGGCATCACTATCTGGCACAGGAGCTGCAAATCAACAGCAACTGTAAGACTACCCTGATCAAGTAGAGTTGCACCCTTCTGAGTAGTACTGGGACACATCCATATAAAAAAACCACACTGAATTCCAATGCACAAGAATTTTAAAAGTACCAAAATACTCAAGCTACTTAATTCTCCTTCAAAAAGGGTTTTATTTGTACCACAATTCATGCCATTTCCACTTGGAAGTCAGAGAGAGCCTCAACCCATCATTTTGCTATATTTCAAATCTATACAGTTAGTCTTTTTACCTGCCCAAAATATTTAGCTGTTTGAGGACAAAAATTGTGGACCACTAGTTCCAAAGAGATGTAAGTAACACAAATTTTCATATGATGAGCTCTCTCCATTTTAGTAAAGATGATGAAGAATGACTGCTGCTAACATCTGAAGCTTCCTATTATAAAAGTCATGAAATTGTATAAAATTAAATAAAACTACATTAGTTAATACTTTTAAATACTAATCGGGACATCACATTGTATTTATTAATAAACGGTTGATTCAGCCACTCTATTTACCATGCACTTCGCTAAATTATTATAAACAGGAAAATGTTTATTAAGATCACCCAAACTGACTTAAGCCTGCTGCAGTTACTGACAAATGACAATTTGCTGCTTTTACTCAAAACCCTCTAAACATCAACCCACTAATTACAGCAGCCAATCATCCACAAACATCTATGCTGTTCTCCACCTACTCCACTTAAAACATAATAGTTACTTCTCACTCTCAATTATTTACCTTAGAATCACTTTCCTTATGATGTTTGGCACAGGATCGAAGCTGAGTTATCCAGTATTGTTTCTCCTTTGCATCAGCAGCTAGAACAGAAACAAGAAAATGCAGGTGATCACACATAAATCAATACTTATTTTGAACAAGAGGTGACAGGGCAGAGGGGGAAAGGTTAATTATTTATTAGGATGCAGTATAAATCCTAATTTATGCTACATAAGAACACTTAAGTTTTTCAGTGCAACACATCTAACCCTGTACTTAAGAGACCCTTTGGAAGAAATAAGCTTGTGAGTCTTCTTCATAGTTTTCTCCTCCACATGTCAGCAAAAGCAGAACTACCTACCTCAAGAAGATATTTTTGTTCTAAATTTTTCATCCACTTTTGTTTTACTCGTCTAAGTTTGTGAAGGACAAGGGCCACACCACAGTATTTAAACCCATAAAAGCTCTACACTCAGGTTGTCAATCAGCTACCAGACAAGCTACCAGTTCCCCAGATACTTAAGTGCTTCTAACAGAGTTCAACCAAATCTCTCTCTAAAACCATGTCATTCACATGCAAATTAAAGACACAGGAATAAAAGTCACAATTTCCCACACACATCTTTAAAAACCAGCTGTAAAAATTATTGAAGAGTTTGTCTGCTCTCAGATGGCTCCTGTGTAATATAGTAAGTCTGTTTAGGAGAGAGGCTGTTTTTTTTTTCTAAAACAACTACTACAGGAATCCTCATTAAGAATTGCAATAGAGAGCTGATAATTTCAGTAAATATTTTCTGTTACTTCCTCTGCTATTGAGTACCTTAATGGTTATTGACTCAGAATAAAAATTGTTTACTGATTTTAATCAAATTCATAGACATCATTCAATTAAAATGAGCATATTATAAGCATTTGATAATTTCAAGTGATTGGAAAAGCATAATGAAACAACAAGTGTTCATGATTTCTAGCTGTGCAACTTTCAAAGCATTTTTACAGAAATTCTCCCTGGTTGTTTCTGAATTCAGTTCTGTATATGAAAGAGCAACACACTATACCACAGGGGACTCCTGCATGCTCAGTCTTGTTGGACAACTGATAAACTGATCAGAATAAAACTAAGAATACTTCTGTTACACTGAATTATGCGTTTTTTTAAAACAATTTATTTTTTATAAATTAGTTTGATATGGAAGCATCATGCCCAATCAACCATACTGAAAACACCTTAAAATCAGAACACTTTCAATTCCTTTTTTGTAAATATTCCAAAGTAACTCCTATATAACCCTATATTGTCTATCTTACACTTGGGAACAAGGGAAGGGAAAATTTTACATTAGAGGTGCATTCAATTACTCCAAGACCGATAATAACATAATATCTTAGCAACCTCTCACTGGCATTTTTCCCTTCTCTGACCCATCATCAGATTCATTACTGCACATTATCTACAGGATGGTGGCAAGGAAGAAAAGTGCTAGAAAACAAATGTCATGCTGTTTTATGACAGCAATGAAAGCAGCTTTTTGCTCATTTGGAAGCAAATAAGATGCAGCATTCAATCAAAATGCCACAGTAACAGATTACAGAAGCCACCTTGAGGTATCTTCCAGCCCAGAAAGTCTATACATTGTAAAAAGTCACATGTACTTAACTCCAGATTACTCCTCCACCCTGTATTAAAACATACTATGTAATAACAGAGCTGTATACCTACTACTTTCTGACAGCACAGGGAAGTAAGAGAAATGAGATGTGAGAGAAGAGATGCAGAAGTGGGAGTGGCAGAGAACAATAATTCAGCTGACACTGTGAACAACACTGTACCTCTTAACTTGTACATCTCTCCATTAGCAGAGTAGACCACTAACATGTGTGGCACTTCATCACTAGGTGATATTATAGCTCCAGCTAAAGACAAGGCTCCTCGTGGCTTTGGGCTCTGGTTTTTAGTTTGTTCATTCATGAAATACTGCAGAATTCCCGTCTCAAAGTCCAACACAAAGTACCTGTTGAAAGAAATTACAAGCATATAGTATATCCACAGAAGTTTTCATACATTTACCCAACAAAGAGCACAGATTGATTTTAAATCAAGATTATGGTTAAAGTAATTTTTGTTATTACAACTTTATAAGGCATTGTTATTTGGTTTGGTTTTTCAGGGGTAGGCAATCGATTCCTTTATTCATAACACAAGCCATTTCACAATAAACCAACACTGAAAGATCAGACAAACAAAAAACTGACTAGGTTGCCCAAGTGCTCTAAAAGAAAGTGAAGGTATTTTAAAGTTGGTGTGTCAGCCTCAAGAGTTGAAAACATTTATTTTTTCCACAAATAAACCCATCCTTCACAACAGCACAGATCCTAAATTCCATTTCCCTCTGTATCTTCTATACAAACAACAATTATTTAACAGTAACCCTTGACCAAGAAGGAACAGACAGCAACCTCCTGGCTCACATGAAGGTCAGTCCACTACAACCCTCAAAAGACTAGAGCAAAGATCACACAAACACAGGTTACCCGCCCTTAGCTGCTTCTAAAAAAACAGCCCTAACAATCTGGGTAATCCACTAACATGGGCATTTTTAATAAAAACTATTTGTGACTATTTGTGACTTTCTCTATGACAAGATTACCACAGGTCATATGAATTTGTGTACGATATTTCAGAAACTGATTATTCAGACTTCTGTAGCTTCATATATCCTAAATTTGCTCAAGTTACCACATTTTGTCTTAGCTCTTTCACAATGTCCCCATATGTAGAACATCTCTAACCTTTCCCATCACAGAACATTTCCAGGATTCTCCTCACAGTCTGCAGTTATTGGTTGTGGTCTGCTCCTCTCTTTATTCATGCTAAATAAGCCTGGACATGATGCAGGCAGTTACTGCCTAAGATGTACAGAGTTTCAGACGTTTTGTTTGGCACACCTTCCTTTGCTGCAGTTATGCTTATCTCTCTATGGCCACTGCCTTCACATCAGAGCAAAGATCAAATGCTCTTTCAATTGTTACAGATTAACAACCCTGTCCCAAAGAGTACATCACTACACCCTTCACTTGTGCCCTGACTCAACCTCCCACAAGTACTTCTGCATCCTTTTCCTCAAGAAACAAATGGAAACCTCCCTTTTGCAATCAGGTAGCACATCACCTTCTCTTGACAGGTTATCTCCAAAACAAGGACTAGAGGAATGGCTACCACATTTTCAACAGTAGTGTTAAAAATAAGGATGTCCTAAAAGGAAACTGCCAAAACTGCATTTTACCTTACTGACTTGTATTGTACCAGTTCATAACCTTCCTGTTGTGTTTGACTTCTAAATGATTTTAAAATACTACTCTTCCTCTTAAAAAGCATTTTTTCTCTTCAGGTTGCTTAGTAGGAGAAAACAAAGCGCTTAACTGCAGGGAAAAACAGCAGAACTGGAAAACATTTCTTTCAAAAGTCAGTTTTAATTTTGCTCATTCTCATTTTTCCAGATATTCTGGGAATATCTGTTACATACTCAAGGGAAAAAGCAGAGCACTAGACAAAAGTGATGCCATGTCCCTGAGAAAACCACACAGTAGCTTGGCCCTAGAGCTAATGCTTCTCCCCATCATCTCTGAGCTCAGCAGACAAGTCTAGACTTTACATGCAGTGATGTTCATTCCGAGCCTGTGCCATCCTCATTATAATTTCATTGTCCTTTTATTGTTCAGGTACAAATAATTTATTTCAGTCTTTGTTATTTAGCCATTTTTAATTGATTACTACCTTGGAAATCACTGCTGTGGTTACTAAAGTACAGCTCTACAATTAACAAAAGGAGGAACAACAGCTAGAGGAGAAAAAAAAGGAAAGAAAAAAGAGAAGCAAGAAAAAGTCTTTTCTTCTCCTGTTGAGACCAAAGGATTTGGGGGAAAAAGTTCCTCTATTAGAACAGAATCTATTAAGTTACATAAACACTGAGCGCTTCAGCTCAGAAACTTCTGCATGCTAGACCAGCAAAGCACTCCCAAAATGACTGTAAGCTCCACAAAAATGGGCTTTGCATTGGCTTAAAGCTACCCCAGGGAAGGAAATCAGCCATTCGAGTATAGAATATACCTTTAGCAGCATAATGACATCAGACAACAGCAACTTCTGCAAATTCCCAAACAGAGGTTGCATCCTTCCGCATCCTCGTTATCACTGCTACAGCAGTAGTGTTAACTGCATTTCTAGCCAACCACAACCTATTTTACGTAGTCTCAGAAAAACAGAACATCATCACTGTACCTTGTACCTTAGGTTTTTTGTGATGATGTCTTAGAAGCCTGTAAAAGCAAGCAATGTTTCCAGCAGAAATAAAGCAGTAATTTTAGGAAAGAAAAAAGGTAACTATTTCTCACAAGCCCTCGCATCACCCTTAAGTATTCTGCCTTCTTTCTTGTCCCAAAAGGACCAGGAACTTTTCACAAGCGTCTTGGCCATGACACTCTTCACATCACACAGAATCAAGCATTTCCTTTTCAAAGGTTATGGTTTGATGTGCAACTCCCCTCTTCACCTTTCACACAGTAGTATCACAGAAAAAGACAAAAATAAACTGCACAGACAACCACAGCCTCACAAAAGAAGCAGAGAGATAACACACTTTGAAAACTGCTAAAAGGATAGAAAAAGCTGGGAGAAGGAATAAGGAATTAAATGTCAAATCAAGCAGTGCAAGGCTTCATACAAAGGAGGTGGAGGAGGGAGGAACACAAAGAGATAGGAAAAACAGGAGCAGCTTTCAAAAACATTTTCTCGCATCACAGACCAAATGATGACCCAGTTCAGACCATCACAAAAACACAGAAGAAATGGAGACCAGAGTCTTTCATTAACTGAGGATGGAAAAGCATTACACATATAAAGCAGGACAGAAGAAAAGTGTACGTGTCCCATTTTAGAAGCGCTGTGCAACTGAATCAAAAGGACAGAGATCTCTTTTAACTTCAAAAAGTCATTTGTTCTGCCTAGCAGGGAAATAACAGCACTAACCTCTCTACAGCTGATTAATCTTGCCACCTCATACTCATCCATTTCTCTCCTGGCCTTGCTCACATTCACCCATGACATCATATTTCTGTAATTAAATCTCAGATACCAGTGATGAAAACAAACATACTGTTTAGAGAACAGTCAGGCAGAAGGTAGCAGAGCCCAGTTACATCATACTTCTCATACAAAAAATTTGTGCTATAAAGAAACTGTGTAATAACTGTTACTGAAAGGCACTTCCAAAAGACAGCTGAATTTTTCTGTTATTCCAAAACCAGAATAACATTTTTTTTTTTTAATTAATAGTCTTTAAAAGAGTCTATCTAAAGGTAAGGTAGAAAATCACCACTTAAGCATATTTTAAACAGTTTTAACTGCTTAAGCACAGTCCAAAATAGACACGCAAAATTACAGGCAAGGGAATCCAGGCTACTTCACAAAAGAAAAGCCAATGGATTTCTCACTTCAGATACAAATCCATTCAGACACTAAAGGCTTCCTGATCCTCTGGCCCAGCTTCCCTGAGATCCATCAGGATACTCCCCCTCTGCCATTCCAACTGAATGCAGAGCCATTACCAACTCACAACAATTACAAGCAAAAACATTCACCACACTCTGCAAAGCTGAAGTCTGACACTACCAGAACTGATACCTTTTAAGTCACCCAGGAGTTTGTCTATATGGCCTGACAGTAGTTTAATTCTCTTTTACTTCTCACATTTCAAAATTAATGCCCTCTCTGCATAAATCCTAGGTCATAAATTCTACAACTATCTTAATTAAACACTTCTGTTTCACCATGTCCTTCATCTATTCACTCGTTCATTCAAAGCCATTTAAAAAAAAAATTTAAAATGTCAGGCAGAACGTGCATGTTATGCTAGGAAATGTAACATCTTGCCTTCTGAATTCTTAGAAGGAAAGGGTCAAACACTACTAATGAAGTATTTCAATTGGGTTTGCTTCTACTAATATGAGCACTTATTAGAGTAATAATTATAACTTGTTCATATAATTATATAATATTATAATAATTTATTATTAGGTCCTTGTTCGAGAAGACTTTAAAAAAAAAGCAATGACTATGCTTTAAAGAGTCATAAAATTCTGGTAGTATAGCAGGAGATGAAAGTGCTCTACCACTAGGGCCTGTCAACAAAGAACAGCAGCTAAACAGCTCTTCCATAAGAAAAACTGACATTTCACCAGTGTAACAGATTTAAGGCAATAAAGATTTTTTTTAAAAAAAAATGTTAAAGCCACACATAAGTATCAGAAGCATGATACAATAATTTACTCACCTCACTGGATCTAAGAATTTTAATTTTCCCATTTCCAGTCAAAATAATTATTTTCATATTCTCCAGTGAAAATTAATACTTTACACATTTCTATGTATTTCATCACTCAATTACACATCATAACACGATGCACTGCTCCTTGAAGCTGTCACTTGGATACAAACCTGCAACCCAAAATTATGCTCCCAACAGAAAAACACCTCAAAGCAAGTTTCTCCTTTTCTTCCCTAATTCTGAACACATCTCAGAACCAACCATCTGAACCCATGTTTTCACTACTCCGTAATCCCAAGAAATTTTCAATGTAGGATTGCTAAATCTTTCCATTGTGTAATGCATTCCTAGCAATTTGAGTACTCCTCACACCCTTCTTTCCCACTTAAGTCAGTTTTCTGGACCAGATTTTGTTAGCTTCCAGTTTGAATCCGAAACGTGACAGAGGTTTTTAATAGACATTTGCAACTGGACAATTATAGTCCCAATAAAATCTTCTATTTCTCTCTCCATCTTCTAGAACAACCTCAACTCTTTTTGAAAGCAGCATTGTATTAATTATGTCCTTGGATTGATAGCCTACACTGGAGTCCATGCTTCATAGTTGGACTCTGTCTAATCCTAGACTTTAGGATTAAAATTGGTATGTATGTCCGAATACTGCACACTAGCACAGACATCCTTCTTAC